CAGTGCTGGAAGGATTGAACCCAGGGCCTCTTGCATGCTAGGCTAACCCTTTAACAATGAGCTATACATCCAATCCCTGACTTGCATTCCTTTTTTTTTTTTTTGTACCAGGGATTGAACTCAGGTCCTTGTGCTTGTGCTGCAGGGGGCAAAACCACTGAGTTAAATCCCCAGCCCGTGACTTGCATTCTTCATGTAGAAAGAGTTCCCACATATAAATAAGCAAAAGCATTGAAAGGCCTGGAAGTCAGTTAGGATTGCCTGCACCTGTAGAACCAGATGCTCAAGTAGCTGTGGTGGAGAGTCCCTTGAATATAGGAGATCAAGGCTACCAATAGAGTGAGGCCCCACCCAAAAAACAAAAACACAAGAAACAAAAAGAAAAAGGCCTGGGTATGTAGCTCAGTGGTAGAGTGTATGATTAGCATGGATAAGGCCCTGGGTTTAATTCCCAGAACTATGAATAACAAACAAAAAAAGAGACAGGCCTGGAGGCACAGGCCTGTAATCCCAGCAGTCTGTAAGGCTTAGGCAGAAAAATCACAAGTTCAAGCCCAGGCTGAGCAATATGGACTTAGTGAGACCCTGTCTCAAAATACATATGTACAAGTGTGAGGGGGGCACCTTGAACTATACCTTAGTGGCATGCTGGTTTAGTACCCAATATTGCAAATAAATCAATAAATACAATTTTTTTTTAAGGCTGAGCATGGGCTGGGTGTGGTGGCACATGCCTGTGATCCCAGCACTCAGGAGGCTGGGGCAGGAGGATCACCACAATTTCTAGGCCAGCCTGGGCTACATAGTGAGTTTGAGGCCAGCCTGAACTACATAATGAGACCCTGTCTAAAAAACAAAAAACAAAAAGCCTGGGCATATAACTCAGTGATAGAATACTTGCCTAGCAAATATGGGGCAAGGCTGTGGATTTAATTCATAGGGCAGGAATGAAGGAAGGAAGGAAGGAAGGAAGGAAGGAAGGAAGGAAGGAAGGCAGGCAGGCAGGAAGGAAGGGGACAAAGAAAAAGAGAAAGGAAGGAAGGGAAAGAAGAAAAGAAAGAAAAGAAGAAAAGAAAGGAGGGAGGAAGATAAACAAGTTAGAAAAGAAACAAGGAAAAAACAAACTCATGAGGACAATTACACACAAAAGAATCTTTGCAGAAAATAACCAGAAATGATCAATAAAACTTTGAAATGAATAAGCCCCCTCATGCTGGTACCCACCTGTGTTCTCAGATTCCCAGGAGGCTGAGGCTGAAGATGGCTTTAGCCTAGGAGTTCCAGGTTGGCCTGGGCAACACAGTGAGATTCTTTATCTTAAAACAAAACAACACAACACGAAACCAAACCAAACCAACAAAGTACATGAAATAGTCCCTGTACTAGATCTCCCTTCACCCAGAAGCCATTGGGCTCAATCCCAGCTGTTCAGTCGGGCTTCAGGAGTCAGGGCAGAGTGACTCTTTCCTTGCTTTGAATAAAACAGAAAAGAATGAACATGGGACAGCATAAGTGGACTTCAGTGTATTTCTTAAATGCTTTTACATTTAAATAAAAATGTGTTGGCCAGGGATTTAGCTCAGTGGTTTCGCCACCTACTGCACAAGCGCAAGGACCCGAGTTTGATCCCAGGTACCAAAAAAATAAAATAAAATAAAAGGTATTGTCTGGGGGGCAGAGAAGGAGTGGAAGGCTGACAGGAAGGGGGATTCCAGTAGCTTGGACAGGCACCTATCAGAAAGAAGGTGCTGAAAGGGCCCTCACCAGAGTTGTATCCACTGCTCCATGTAGGGGCTCGCCCTAGGATGGCAGTGAGCCCTAATCCTGCTTCTGGGTGGTGGAGCCAGCTAGAGTGTTCAAGGTCCCACCTTGTGGTCCTGGAAGGCAGCACCAGGGACAAGGATATTTCTGATCTAACAGGGGAGGCAAGACCACTGGGAGATTCTAGAAGGCCTGAGCCAAAGAATGGGGGACAAAGAGGTGGGGGCTTAGGGCTGGGGACACAGTGAACTCTCAAGCTGCCTTAGGAACTGCAGGAAGAAGGAAATAAGAAATGGAAAAAGACAAGTAATTTATGAGGCAACTGATAAAGATCTTGACAGGAAGTCAATAGAAATGATCAATAAATCTGTCAAATGAATGAAGTCCTGCACGATGGTCCACACCTGGATTCTCAGATGCTAAAAGTCTGAGGCAGGACTGCTTGATCCCGGGATTTTGAGGCCTGCCCAGGCAATATGGCCAGACTCTGTCTCGTAAGAAAGGTACGTGAAGGGGTAGAAATTCCCAATAATGAATGTCAGCATATTGTATACCTAAAATGTAGCAATAAAAATAATGGGGAAATAAAGGTACATGATGGGCCGGAGATTTAGCTCAGTGGTGCTGCACCTGCCTCACAAGCCCAAGGTCCTGAGCTCAATCCCTGGTACCAAAGAAAGAAAAAAGGTACATGAAGCAGTCCTTGACTTTTGCTCCCTTGAAACACATGGAAGCCACTGGGCTTAGTCCCAACAGTTCACTCTAACTGGATCCATGATCCACAGGGTGGGGAGACAGGGAAGAGGGACTCTATCCCTCCTTTGCATAACACAAAAAGTGTGTGTGTGTGTGTGTGTGTGTGTGTGTGTGTGTAAGCATGAGTGAAGTTCAGTTTTTGTTTTCCTTTAAAAATTTTTTTTTGTCTTTCCGGATAGGGTCTCACTCTGTAATTCAAGCTGGTTTTGGACTCACTATGTTTACCAGGGTGGCCTCAAACTCTAGGCAATCCTCCTGCCTCAGCCTTCCAAGTGCTGGGATTCCAGGCATATACCACCACACCCGGCCTTTTGTTCTTTTTCACAGGGTGTCACTATGTTGTCCAGGCTGGCCTCAAACTTGCAGTGATCCTCCTGGCTCTACCTCCCAAATTACAGTATTACTCTCCTGTACCACCATGCCTGGCACTTCAGTTTATTTAAGTGCTTGGGTACAATTAAGTAAAAATGGGCTGGCTGTGAGGAAGAGGAGGAGAGGACAGTGGAGAGGGATGTGAACTCTTCCACAGTTCAGAGAGGCTCTCCATGCAGAAAGTGGGGAAAGGGGACCTGGCTGACCACCTCAGAGTTTTCTTCAGTGCTGCATGTTCGGACTGGATCTGGGGTTGCAAGGAGACCACACAGAATTCCCACAGTGTTAGAGAAGGGTGGAATGTTTAAGGGCCCAGCTTGGAGTCCTGGGACAAGGGTGTCTCTTGTCTAACAGGAGGGAGGCTGGACCACTGGGAGATCCCAGGAGGCCTGAGCCAAAGAAGGGGGACAAGGCGGTGGGGGCTCAGGGCTGAGGACACAGTGAGCTCTCAAGCTGCCTCAGGAACTGCGGGAAGAAGGGAATAAGGAACCGGGCTGTGGAGCTTCCCAGATGGGCTGAGTCTGCTCAGGGCAGCCTGATCCCCTCTCTGTCCCTAACGTGCTGGGCTGCCATGATCCTTCCTGCTCTGAGGATCACTGTGACTGAGGAAGGGTGATGGGACTAGGACACTCACTCCTACCCACCTACTTTCTGGGGGGTGGGGTAGGTAACTGAGGCTCAGTAAGATTCTCATCCTCAGCAGCCTGGTGATGTTGTGTTTCTTTTTCTTATAGGCGTGCAGCATCATACCCAGCCATATTTTTCTTTGTTTTTGTTTGCTTGTGGAGCTGCTGGGGATCCAACCCAAGGGCTCCCCCTGCCTCCTGATCCACATAGACTGTTGTTAAGTGGTGTTGGGCAGTGATGTTGCAAAGGTCAGTGTCCATCCGAGGACTGGCCTGTGTTTTCTGGAAGTGCCCGGGAATCTAGCCCTTCCGGGGTCAGGGGCAGATTCAGTGTCTTCTCTGAAGAGTGCAGAAAGAGCGTTGGTCCAAGAGGGGTAGAACCACACACACCACTGGCACCTCAGTGAAACAGAAAACCCAGGCACACACAGGTTACTGCCACCAATTGGCCTTTATTCAAAACTGCAGAGGTGTAGGAAAAGGAGAGGAGGAAGGAGGGCCTGGCCTGAGGCCCAATTGCCTGGGCAGGGTACGACCACTTCAGCTTAACGATATCTGGAAATAAGCACCCTGGAAACCGCCTCCATTAACTTGTCCAGGGAAAGAAGGACTTCAGGAGTCAAGATTTCTGGGTAGTTTGCAGCCATAGTTACAAGCATGGTGTGCTTCAGCAGCTGGAGTGAAAGGAGGAGGCTGTGAGTAGCCATAGGGACTGGAACCACTTGTTCCACCTTCTGGAACGTGTTGTGTGTCTCTCTCATGTCAGCAAGGCTTGCTGTGCCCTCCCCACCCACATCCCTTGCCTGGAGCACTCACCTTGAAGTTCACTGGGTCCACACGCAGTTCCTGACTGTGTTTGTCACTCAGGTCAGACAGGGCAGCAGGCATGTCATCTATGTGTTCCACAGCCTTGTTCAGGGCATCTGCCACCTTCCTGCCATGGGCCTGGATCTGAGGGGAGCCAGGGCTTATGTCGAAGTTGGGGAAGTAGGTCTTGGTGCTGGGGAAACTCAAAAACATTCTGTGGGGGGAAGAAGTGAGTGAGTGAGGTTGGGAGCAGTATGGGCTGAGAATTCATGGGGTCCAGGCCCTGGGGTAGCTCTGATACCTGATTCCTATCAGACTATCAGAGCAGGGAGAGGAGAGCACTCACCTGTATATAGCATCTGGGCAATGCTCAGGCCAAGAAGGGCCAATTTCCTTCCAGACAGACCTGAGACAGGCTTTGTCCTCGTTGGAAAGAGACATGCTGGGTCTTGCTGAGCCTGTGTCAGAACCAGAAGCCTGTGGACCAGCAGAGCAACGCACTTTTATGCCCAGGTTTCAAGGGACACTCTACTGCACTGCGTTCATTGGCTGGCATGTGACCAGTGCCTGGCTGGGTGGCATCAGTGGGGCTGGAGCCAAGGGCTGGGGCTCCACCCAGCAGAAGAACCTTGCACCCCAGGACCTGGATTCCTCTCCTCCTACCCTCTCCTCACAAGCCTCCCAGAAATCAGCAAGCTGCTCCTTAGCTGTTACGGTCTGTTCCTGTGTTCTTGCTCTACCATACTCCAGGGCATCTGTCCCAGACCTAAGTGTCCCTGCCCTGGGGAGAGGACCTATGAGACTGGAAGGGCCCACCCAACCTAGGCCTGTGGCACACCAGATGTGAGTTTACTGAGAGAATCCCCTCTCTCCCTCTCCCTCCTTTTTTTTCTTTTGGTACCTGGGATGAACTCAGGACCTTACACTTGTGAGGCTGGCGGCGTCAGTACCACTGAGCTAAATCCCTGGCCCCCTCTCCTTTTACACAGAACTTCATGTTAGTCCTGTGTCTGGATGTCTGGCTGACTTGTAATCTTTTTTCAGTATACTGTGTGGTTTTTGATGGGTTCGAAATTGAACCCAGGACCTCTGACATGTTAGACCGTGGCTTTCCTGCTGAGCCACACCACCCCCTCCCCGTCCCTTAATTGTTCTGTGTGTGTATGTGTGTTGTACTGAGGATTGACTCCAGGCTTCACACTGAGCAACAGCCCCACCTATTTGTTTTATTTTTAACTTTGAGACAGAGGCTTGCTAAGTCACTAAATTGCTCAGGTTGGGCTTGAACTTGAAATCTTCCTGCCTCAGCCTTCCACTGTGGTGGGATTAAAATCATGTGCTACCACACTGGGCTGTCATTTGCAGACCTAATGTGGAAAGAACTCCTACTTCTAAAGGAAAGCCTGAGAGGTGGATTGTCAGGCACAGTTTTACATAATTTTGGGGAAAAATCATTTCACAATTAAAATTATGATTAGGCCTAGTTTTCCTCCCTACAGGCCAGCTATGGCACGTGGAGACAACTCCATTTTTGCCTCCAGTCACAGCTAAAACCTCAATGGCCCTGTGATGCTATGATGCTCCAGGGCAAGATTATACCAGTTGAAGACATCCTGGGGAGGAACAAAATGTTCATCTGCTTAGTTCCTCATTATTCTAGGATTTTCTCTGCAGCTGCCCTCTGAGTCACTTATTACCCTGCTGCCTTCTGAGCCACCCATTACATTTATTACTCCATATGTACTGAATAAAAAGGTGTGGCAGTCTTGGGGCCTTTTGTCTTTGCTGCCCAGAGATCAGGTCCAAAGCTCCGCTTCTTGCCTTAGTCTCATTTTTCTATTGTTTCTGTCTAATTAATTAATTTGCCTTGTGCTGCCATGGCTTGTAGGAGACTAGGACTTACTGTAGAGGTTCTGGTAATGTCCCCTTTCTCTGTTCCCTACAGTGGATGTGGTGACCCGCACCTGTAGTCCCCACTATACAGGTAACTGAGGTGGGAGATCATTGGTGCCTAGGAATTCAAGACAAGCTTGGACAACACAATTAACCTGCATCTCAAAGACAAAAACAAAACTAAATGAATGAATAAAAAAAGCAGTGGGTGTGTAGCTCATGGGTAGAGTACATACTTAGCATGAGTGAAGCCCTGGGTTCAATGACAAGCACTGTGGTGGGGGATCTAGTCTTGTTAGCTGTCATCCCAGCTACTGGGAGACTGAGGCAGAAGGATAGCAAGCTCAGTGCCAGCCCAGGCAATTTAATCAGACACTATCTCAAAATTAAAAATAAAAAGGGCGATGCACAGTGGCAGAGACTGTGATACTAGTACTGGAAGGCTGATGCAGGAGGATTGCCATTCAAGGCCAGCCTGGGCTACATATGAAGACTGTCTAAAAGAAAAATAAAATAATTAAAAATTAAAAAGGGTTGGGAATGGGGGCCAGGGATATAGCTCAGTGGAACCATACCTGCCTGGCAAATGCAATGCCCTGAGTTTGATCCCTGAGAACCGCCCCCCCACAAAAAAAGGTTGGGGATGTTGCTCAGTGGTGAGTCTCCCTGGTTTCATCTCTGATACAGAAAAAAATTTTTTTTCTTTTTAAAGTCTGGGAAGGCAATAATGGTGCCTGTAATCCCAGCACTCTGGTGGGCTGAGGCAGTATGTTGCAAATTGGAGCCCAGATTGGGCAATTTATTAACAGAGCAAGGCTGTTACACACAAAAAAAATTTGTTTTGTTTTCTTTTGGTATGGGGATTGAATTTGGGACCTTGCACTTGTGAGGCAGGTGGTGGAACCACTGAGCTAAATCCCCGGCCCACAAAAAAATTTTTAATGGCTGGGGATGTAGGTGAGTGATGCAGGATGCCTAGCTACCATGTACAAGGCTTTAGATTCTATTGCTAGTATTGAAAGAAAAAAAAGGTAAAAGGAATAAAGAGAAAGAAAACAAAAGAAGGAGAAAAAGCCTTCCCCAGTGAGTGGCTGCCTGATCAACCTCCTGGAACTCTTGGGGTTTCTCTGCCTTGCTATCAAGGCCCACTGCTCCCACTGTGCTCCACACTCCCCTGAACTCTGTGTGCTCACCTTGAAGTCAGCTGGGTCCACACGCAGTTCCTGGGCATGCAGGTTGCTCAGATCAGACAGGGCATTAGGCAGGTCATCTATGTTGTCCACTGCCTTGGTCTGATCATCAGCCACCTTCTTGGTTTTTTGGGGTTTTTTTGTACCAGGAATTGAATTCAGGACCTTGCTCTTGCCAGGCAGGCATGGCACCACTGAGCTAAATCCCTGGCTCTTCAGCCACTTTCTTGCCATGGGCCTGGATCTGGGCAGAGCTGGGGCTCTAAAATGGGGTAAGAAAGTTGTGGTGGTGGGGAAACTCGGGAACTTTCTGTAGGGAGAAGCAGTGGGTTAGCTGAACTGGGGAGGGCTTAGGCAGATATTAAAGGCTATCTGGGGCACAGTTGATCTTGGGGTCCTAGCAAGAGAAGGGAGAGCCCTCACCTCTCCAGGGCCTCTGTACCATACTCAGCACCATGACCTTCTATCTTCTCCCAGGCAGCTTTGATGATGGGTCTTATCAGCGGTGGACACCACCGCTGTTGGTTCTGAGTCAGTGTTAGAACCTGGAGCTTGCTGGACCTGCAGAGTGTGTGCTTCTATGTTTGGGACTTAGGGGCTCCACCTGGCCAGTTCTGTTCCTTGGTCTGACCCTCACTCCCACTCAGGCCCTCTTCTGCCAGGAGGAAGCCTTAGAGGAGACAGAGGGTGGTTCCCTCTGTTCCCACGGCTTATCTAAATCTCCCAATCCTGCCCAGGCAGAGACCAGGCTCCCTGTCCTGTAATCTCCCCCAGGCTCTAGAGATCCCCAGACACATAATGCATCCACATGTGGCCAAGACCCAGGGCACATTCAAGATGCCTGTTTTCTTAGCTGGAAAGGAGGGTGCAATCTTTTCTGATGTGAAATATTAGCTGCTTTCCTACCAAACTTCCTTTAGTACCTAGAGCTGTTTTTGTCCATGTAAATAGTGACAATGGAGCATATATTATGGGGTCAAGTCCTACAGGCTCCTGTCCTCCCACAGGGATCCAGTGCTCCCAAGCAACCCAGGGTTACAGGTCCTTGGCAGGGTTTACCGGGAGAGTTCTGTAGAGCCACGGTCAGGATTCAGCTTCCAGTATCTTCTATTTATTTGTTTAGTTGTGGTACTGGGGATCAAAACAGTAGTGCTCTATAACTGAGCCTCCTCTCCAGACTTTTTTTTTTTGTACCACGGATTGAACTCAGGACTTTGTGCTTGCCAGGCAGGTCCACTGAGCTAAATCCCTCTCCCCTCTCCAGACATTTTAATTTTTATTTTGAGACAGAATCTTGCTAAGTTGCCCAGATTGGAATTGAACTTGTGATCCTACTGCTTCAGCTCCCTAAAGTTCTTGGACTACAGGAGTGTGCTACCATACCTGGATTCTGCATCCTGTTTAGATCTGGTACTATTAGGGTCCCCTGGTTCCATCTATCCATAGAAGGGATTATCACCAGGGAACTCTCTTTATTTAGAATTTGGAGAGCTCTAGAGTACAGCTCCCTCTTCAATCCTTGTTTCTTATTGTCAAGGGCTAGGAACCCTAATATTTGCCCCCTCCAGTCCCCAGCAGCCAGGGAGTGTGAAGACAAAGCTTGAGTGAAGGCACATGCACCTAGGAAGGGAGAATACAGAGGCCACGATGCTAGGGCAGGTATGTGGCTATGGCCACGAGCCTGCCAAGCATCAACCCTGCAGCATGATGTCAAAAATTACTACAAACATCTGGTGAGTTCAGGGTGAGTTTCTCCATCGGAAGGGTGAGGATCGTCGAGCTCAGGGATGCCCAGCGTGACCTGGCTTGTCAGTGTGAACCAGCCCAAAACCTGCTCTGTCTGCCAAACAGTGGCCACCAAGCTTTCTTTTTCACTCCCACCACCCACTCCATGAGGCTCAGAGACAAGGGCTAAACTGGCCAGGAAAAGGTTTCCTCAGAGCGAGGGGAGAGGAATAGGGAGTGAGGAACCCAAGAGCCTTGGGCTCCAAATTTGCTTGTCTCAGGCCACACATTTGGTCCCTGGGCCTCTGTTCCAGCAGAGGTCAGTGAAAGAAAAGAGGATTGTCACCTGCAGGTGCCCCTGGAAGTGATGACAGAGGGAGAAGGCTTAGAGAATCTGAGCATGCTCTGGGAAAGGTAATGCACTGGCCTGCTGCTGGATGTCAGCTGAAGTTGCACCTGGTACTGGCAGGGGCCCAGGTGTGAGCAGCAGGTCTGCGTCTGCAGTACTCAGAAAGAGTCTGGGGAGCAGATCACTTGGCATAGCGGCCACGGGGTCCCGCCAGCCCCCACACTTGTAGACCCAGGTGAAACCTTGGTTGGGCTCTTGGTGGGCTCTGTACCCAATCAATGTCCTGTCCTTGTCTACCATAGACCTCTCCCCACGCTCCTGGGACGAAGGCTCCCACCCCCTCATTGTGTCACCTGGCCAGAGAGCAGGGCCCAAACCTTCCCAACGTGAGCGCGCTCCTGGCGCCAAGCTTGGCACGATCAGGGAGCCCGGTCTGCCCTTCAGTCTTCCTTGTAGAGCCCTCCTCATGTCGCCCCACCCGCTCAAATCGGCCCGGCACGGCGGGAACCCGGGGACCCTCGGCCCCGGCGCAGAAATGTCGCCAGCTGGGCCCTCGCGAGTGGGAGGCCAGGGCCTCTGCCATCACCTGTTGCGGCGCTGACTCCCCCGCGCGGCGCGTGGGCGCCTGTGCCGTAGGCTTGGGTCTGTAATTTCTCCCCTGCAGGCAGAGTTATGCTGCCCTTGAGGGAGCCACAGGATGGAGCAGGAGTGAGACCGGGGACAGAGAGAGCCCGATTCCCTTAGTGGGGACCGCATCAGCGACCCCGACACTGCCAGGGTCGGGGGTGTGACATCCGGCGTGGAGGAGCAGACTCTACACGCACCCCACGCGGAGTGAGCGACGGTCCGTGGGCGACTGGGGACGGTCCCCAATCGAGAGGTCCCCTGACCCGGCGGTGGAAGCTCTGCTCCCTCCGCGCTGCAATCTGGGGTCCTCAGGGCGAGGAGCTTCCCGGGTCACCCGGAAGATCCTCCGGCAGGTGGTCGACCCCGGGTGACCGCGCTCCTGCGAGACCCCAGCGTACCCCTGGGCTTCTCCCGTCGTCCCCCGGTACTGAGAACACAGGACCCGGTTGTTCCAGCCTCATCCTTTTATTGGGGATTCCGGGGAGGAAAGCGGGAGGGGGGGTGTGTGGGGGGCTGCTGCTCAGGGGTCGTAGCCAGTGCCGGGTTCGGGCGGCGGCGCTCAGCGGTACTTCTCGGTCAGGATGGAGGACACAAGGGACAGGAACTTGTCCCAGGCGGCGTGGACCTCGGCCGAGAGGTCGGCGGGGAAGTGCGCGGCCAGCGTGACCAGCAGACAGTGAGACAGGAGCTGCGGGGGCCGGGAGGGCGCCTCAGGTCTCAGTGAGGGGAGCGCGTGTGTGTGTGTGTGTGTCTGTGATTGAGACCTCACTCCCTCGGGCCCTGTGCTGACCAGCCCCCAGCCCATCTCTGTCCCACTCACCACCCACCACCCACCACCCACCACCCACCTTGAAGTTGACGGGGTCCACGCGCAGGACGTAAGCGTGCAGCTCGCTCAGCTTGGTCAGCGCGACCTCCACGTTGTCGATGTTCTTGACGGCGTCGCCCAGGGCGGCCATCACCTTTGAGCCGTGTGCGCGCAGCTGTGGCGACCCCGGGTGCAGGTCGAAGTGGGGGAAGTAGGTCTTGGTCTGGGGGTAGCTGGAGAAGAGCCTGGGGATTGGGGGAGCGTGAGCCTTGGGGCCTCAGTGGAGCTGGCACCCAGGTAATGTATTTGGGCACCAAACTTAGAGATTTCCCCAAACCCAGAAATCAGTGGGTGGCTTATTAATTTAATATCAGTCAGTGACCTCTCACTGTGATATGCTAAAAGCATATTTTAATGCCATTTTAAATTAATATAAAAGAATCCTCACTGAACAAACATTAAAGTTTCAGGATGCCCAGGCTCCAGTGTGGCAGGGCATTGACTCTCCTCATTGTCCATCATGCATCCATCCCTTAATTCAGCCCTTGTGTGTGGATAGGGTGTGGGCTTGGCTGGGTGAGCTCTGTGAGATGCAGTCCTACTTCTAGCTCCCTCCCTCCTCATCCACCTCCTCCTCAGTTCACTGAATCTTGGCCCTTTTACCACTAATCATCATCATGATGCCCTTCCAATTCATCCTCACCGGCCCTCTTACTGACCCCACCTCACTGACCTCTTCCCACCTCACTTCCATGCTGACTGTGCCTCCTGAGCCTCCAGACAACCCCTCCTATCTGCTCGCTGAGCTCTCCTCTGTGGTCCTCCCATTGACTGTCCCTTCCTCACCAACCTCTTCCCATTCTCCTCTCCACCCCAACAACTCCTACCGACCCCTCCCTTTTTTGTGAGACAGGGTCTTACTCTCCAGTTCAGACAGGAGTGAACTCATTACAGAGCCCAGGCTGAGCATGAGCTTGTGATCCTCCTGCTTCATCCAAGAGTATGCTGGGATTATGAGGGTGCGTCTCCAAACCTGGCTCCACACCTTCTGATGGACCTGCCATTCCATCTAATCCTGAGCCTCTTACTGACTCCTTGATGACACTTCTCATTGACTCTACACCTATTGCTCTACTGACCCTCCTACTGACCCCTCTAATTCCCCCTCAGGGCGCCTTGTTCATTGTCTTCTCACTGACCTCTCCTAGTCACCCTTCTACACATTGACTCCTGCTTTTCCACCCCTCTTCTTAACCCCCCCACTGTCCCCTGTGCATTGACCCCTCTTCAATGACCTCTCCTTATTGAGCCTTTCTCACTGACCCCTGCTCACTGCTCATCCTCACCATCCTCTCCTAAGGACCCCTCCCACCACCCCTGCCCTGGCCTCTGATCTGGTCACTCAGCCCATCCTGTCTGGCTCTTACCTCTCCAGAGTCTCAGTGCCAATGACATCAGCCTGCATGGACATCTTGTCCCAAATGGTCGTGATGATGGCCCTCTCACTGTTGGTCAGAGACATGATGGTACGGTGGGCAGGTGGGCTGGAGCTGGAGACGCTTAGGACTGGCCTGGTGGTGCTCACTCTCCAGGATCCTCTTATATGCACTGTGCTGTGGGCCCAGCCAGGACGTGGCCATTGGTTGGGAGAGGGGAGGGGGCTAAAGGGTGGGGGCTCTTATCTGACCCAGTGACAATATGCAGTCAGGGCCTGGTGGTCCTGGGAGGTGAGGAGCTATCACTCCTGCCCCCTCTTGGCCTTCAAGGGGGCGTTGGCCATAGTCTGACACAGTATCTAGGAGAGATAGGGGCCCAGGCTTCCCAGGAGGTCATCCCTGCCTTTGAAGTCCAGCCCTGCGCTGTCCTTATCCATTTCAGAATGGCCAAGTGGGGCCCAATGTGCACCCTCCTTGGGTACATTGCCCACCATGCTGTCTGTGGCATCCCCTTCCAGCTCATCTCTGTGACTCCTGAATTGCTCCAAGAACAGCAAGGGTTCTGGTAGGCTAACACAGAGGGAAGGCTGGTTGGGTCTGTGTCCTGACCAACAGGGTGACATGGTAGGCTAACCAAGGAGAGTTCATCTCATGCTGTGCACTGTGAGGGATGCTGTGTGCAATGTAGCCCTCATACCTGTCACTGTAACGCATGACAAATATTCTTTTTAGGTTTTTTCTTTGTTTGTTTATTTTTTTGAACTTGGTTTGCAGTTCAGGCTGGTCCTGAACTCACTATGTAGCCCAGGCTGGCCTTGAACTCATGGTGATCCTCCTGCCTCAGCCTCTCAAGTGCTGGGGTTACAGGTGTGTGCCACCAGATCTGGCTTTCTTTTTAGTTTTAACATACAATAATTTTTCTTTTCTTTTTTCTTTCTTTCTTTTTTCCTATTCTCTGATGTTAACATATGTATAGATTTGTGTGACAGGACATAGGACAGCTCCATCACCCCACAAATTTCCATGTACACCCATTTAAAGTCTTAGTCTCTGCCTACCCCAACCTCTGCCAGCCATTCTAATTTCCTGTTTTTCAAAAATGTAGTAGAACTTGCCAGGAATTACACACACCTGTAATTCCAGCACTGAGAAGTCAAGCAGCAGCACACTGTGAGTTCAAGGCTTTTCTGGACTACATAACCAGACCCTGCCTCAAAATAAAAGAAAGAATATTGTATTACTGGAATCACAGTATCGTACTCTTTTTTGTTTTGTTTTGTTTTGTTGGTACTGGGGATTGAACTTGGGACCTTGTGCTTGCAAGACAGGTGGTGGTACCACTGAGCCAAATCCCCGGCCCAGTGTTGTACTCTTTTAAGACTGGCTTCTCTTACTTAGCATAATACCCCTGAGATTCATCCAAGTTCTTATATGTATCAATAGTTTTCTTTTTAGTCCATGGAATAAATATGCCAGTTATCCACTCTTTCACAAAAGGACATTTGGGTTATTACCAGGTTGGAACCATTATTGATAGATACTATGAACATTCATAAATGTCTTTTGTGAACATAAATTTCTATTTCTCTATGGTAATATCATATATTAGGAGTAGGGTGAGCTGGGTGTGGTGGGGCGCACCTATAATCCCAGCACTCAGGAGGCTGAGGCAGGAGAAATGGTGCAAGTTCAAGGTCAGCCTGGGCTACATAGTAAGTCAAGGCCATCCTGAACTACATAATGATACCCTGTCTCAATCTGCCTGCCAAAATAAAAAGGTGGATAATATCCATCTGTAATTCCAGGACTCTAGGAGGCAAAGCAGGAGGATCGCATATCCAGCCCACCCTGGGTAATTTATGGAGTTAGTGAAACTATGTCTCAAAATAAAAAGGTAAACATAGAGTTGGGGATGTAGCTCAGTTTTAAGATCCCAGGTTCAATTTCCAGTACCAAAAAGAAAAAAAAGTCCCATGGAATGAGAGAATATATTTGATAATTGTATATCAAATAAAGAATTTATTTAAAAAAGATTTATCAAAAAAATGGAGTGTGGATATAACTCAGTGATAGTGTACATGTTTAGCAAAAGCAAGGCCCTGGGTTCAGTCTCCAGTACCAAAACAAACGAAGCTTACCCCCAAAATATTACAATTCAAAAATAAAGAGCCAAGCAATTGAAAAATGTGGAAAAGATTTTAACAGACATTTCTCTAAAGAACATACACAAATGGCCAATAAACAAATGAAAAGACACTCAGAGCCTTAGCATTAGGGAAATGCAAGTCAAAACTATAGAGATACAGTTTATACCTGCTAGGATGGTCACAGTTAATGAGACAAAATAGTAAGTGCTGGTAGGAAGGTAAAACGATATACAATGGAAAACAGTGTGGCAGTTTCTCGAAATTCTAAACATAGATCTGCTATATTAATATAATATATATGTGTAATATACTAGATTGCATTCCTGGATATATACCCAAAAGAAATGGAAACATATATCCACAAAAAATTACATTTTTATAATAACCTTATTCATCATAGCCTAAAGTGGAAATGATTCAAATTACCATCAACTGATGAATTAAATATAGTATAATTCACCCATGGAACACTCTTCAGCCAAAAAAGAAGATAAGAACTAAATGGGCCGGGGATTTAGCTCAGTGGTTTTGCCACCTGCTGCGCAAGTGCAAGGACCAGAGTTCAATCCCTGGTACCAAAAAAAAAAAAAAGAACTACTATATGCTACAATGTGGATGAACCTTGAAAACATGATACAGTGAAAGAAGGCAGACATAAAAGGCCACATGTTTATAACTTCATTTTATGAATTGTCCAGAATGGACAAATCCATAGAGTGCAAAGTAGTTTAATGGTTGCCAAGAGGGGATATTTGGGGGACATGACTGCTAATGGATGTTTTTTCTTTCTTTTTTTTTTTTTTTTCCAGTACTGAGAATCAAACTTGGGGCCTTGTGGGCCGGGGATCTAGCTCAGTGGTTTCGCTCCCTGCCTCACAAGTGGAAGGACCTAAATTCGATCCCCGGTACCAAAAAAAAAAAACCAAAAAAAATCAAAAACAAAACTTGGGGCCTTGTGCTTGTCAGGCAGGTGCAGCACCTCTGAGCTACATCCCTGGGTCATGGGTTTTTTTTGAAGTAATGAAAATGTTCTAAAATTGGATACTTTACAATGATGG